GCCCCGATCCAAGAAATCTGCGCGGAACTTTGAAAATTTAGGGTCACGTACACACATCCAGAGATCCGATGTCGTGATTTTTTCAATGTGGGGTCCCCGGAAGCCTCGACCCATTCCTCAGGGCCGTTTTTTCATCCTGAAGCGTTTCTTCACAGTCAACGGGGCCGGCGAGGGCCCCTCGAGGCCGAAAATTGCGCAAAACCTCCGTCGTGTTTTTTTCAATGCGTTGGATCTTCGGGAACATGCACACACACACATATGTGTATTTATATATATACATATATATATGTGTGTGTGTGAATCCCGGTATCGGCACGCCGGGACGCCTCGCCACTGCTTGACCGTGGGCGCTCGCGGGCGCCCAGCGCCGGAGAGATGCATGGGCGATGGGGGTCGATGCTCTCCCCCTGGGCCAGGCGCTCCACCAGCGGCCGGGCCCAGAGGGAGGAGGAGGAGGAGGAGGAAGAGGAGGAGGAGGGGGAGGAGGAGGAGGAGGAGGAGGAGGAGGAGGAGGAGGAGGAGGAGGAGGGTGCGAGAGGGGGGGGGGCGCCAGGGGGGGGGGGACGAGGGGGGCGGCCTCTCGGAAGGCTGTCAGAAGGCCACATCGGAGGCTTCCAAGAGAAGGCCCCATCGGCAGGCGGGCTTCCGAGCGAAGGCCCCCACGCCCCCCAAGAAGCCCCGACCCCCCGCCTTCTCGGGAGGCCGCCCCGCCTCGCGCGCCAGCCTCTTGGTGGCGCGGCCAGCTCTTGTCGCGGCCCCTGAGGTGCGGAGGCCACGGGCGCCGGCGCTACCCCAGAAGAGCCCAGAAGCGACTCGCTAAATCGGGTCGGACTGGCGATCGACATGAACCGGATCGGCGGAACTCGGCAGCCAAGTCGGGAGAAGTTGTGTCGGCGGAAATCGGCAGGCTGCTAAGGCCTCCACTGAGCTTCCGAAGTTAAAAACATAATCCGAAGGCGTCCTAGAGGAGCCCGTTGATTACATGATCCGCGATAACGCCCGTGACCAGCCCCGCCTCACCCACACGCCAGGATTCGCGCCAGCGCCGTGTGGGAGTTAGCCATTCCTAAGCACTCCACGGCGCCAGCGCCAATCGTGACGCGATCGGCCCCCTCCCCCCTTCGCCCCCCCCCCGTCACGCCCGTTACAGTCAACGGAGTGACCTAAGGACAGATAAGTAAGGAACGAAGCCCCTTTTTCCCAAGGAGTAACGCACAAGGAACGATACATAATACATAGCGCATACGCAACGATTACATAACGCATGCAAGCCTAGGGAACGACCGAGCCCCTTTTGACAAGTAGGTGTTCCTTATTCGAGCCGCTCACTGTATCGCCAGGAGAGGACAGAGGCACGTGCGCGGCCCAAGGGGGGCCGCATGAGCTCTGGGGAGACCTCATGGCCACGGCCATGCTCTGGGCTGGAGCTAAACCATGATTTTCGTTTTCGCTCCGTTGTCGTTTTCCTCCGTTCGAGCCTCCTCGCTCTGCCTTTGCTGCGAGACGAAGTCAAAACGATAGCGGCCCACGACATCGCCCAAGCACGGTTGTTGACGCCGAGCCCTGGCCCTGGCCATGGCCTTCCTCCCCTGGTCATCCCCCCTCTTCCGGGCCGCAGCCCGAACATCAGGGAGCCCGAGGGGTGGGCCCAGGTCGGGGTCCGAGGCCCCGGCTCTGGCCGCAACCGGCGCGCTCCCCCAACAACAAAAACCCGCCACGACATGCCCGATGACTGCGCGAGAAGATCTGCCGATGCCGCGGCCAACGCCCATGCGCTTTCCTGAGACCCGGGCGCTGCTTTCGTCACGCCAGGCGCCCTCGCCCAGCCGGGGATCCCCACGGAGTCCATCTGGCCACAGAAATGCGAAGGAAAGATGGGGTCGAGGGCTCTGGTCGTCAGTCTCCACGACTTGTTTGTTTTTTCGCGACGTCGGATTTCAGGGGAGTCTTAGGATAGAAATGGAGAAATCATCCCCCCGTTTTCCAGCCCCCAAACATTCGAAAATCTCTGCCACGCAGCTGGAACTACCATCACAACATCGAAACCCGACCTCCGTTTGGGAAGCTTTTGCGCCTCATGGTCCAAGCACAAGTACGGTCGCCCCGTATGTTGGGCCCACAGTCTGTATAGAGCACGTTTCAACAGACAATCCGCACCAGCTCGTGCCAACCTCCCTTGTCCTTCTTCCCTCCTCCCACTTTCTACCTTCTCCTCCACTCTCCTCCTCCGCCCTCCTCCTCACTCCTCCTCACTCCTCCTCCTCCTCCTCCTCCTCCTCCTCCTCCTCCTCCTGCTCCTCCTGCTCCTCCTCTTCCTCCTTCTCCTCCTCTTCCTCCTCCCTTTCCTTCTTCTCCTCCTCCTCCTCCTCCTCCTCGTCTTTCGGGAGCACCAAGATGGCCTGCGAGCCGTGAGGCGCGCCCGCGAGAACCGCTATCATATTGTTTGCGCTGACGCGCGATATGTCCCAGTCTGCAAACAAGCGCATACACCGCGCGCTCC